AGGCTCCGGCAAAAACCAGAGCGGCCGGATTTGACAATTTTCGGCCTCCTGGGGCCCCCGCAACGGGCCCCGGGACGGTGACAGAAACGGTTCGGGATGCATAAAACTGGCCCCGGGGAAGCTTTGTCCAGACCTCGGTCGGTGGCGAGCGAGGGAGGGAAGCGAGAAGGAGAAGGCAGCCTCGGAATGCGGCGGGGCCTCCGAGAAGCCCTCGATCGAAGGGACTGTGAAGCCTGCTCGGATGCTGCTGCGTTTTGTGTGCCAAGCGCAGGTAGCTTTCGCCCTCCAGGGGCTCTTCAGCCGAAGTGGCACGGCACAGAAGCATCGGATGAAAGGTCGCACGGAGCAGTGCGCCGTGCCCTCGGGGAAGTTGTCCAGATCTCGGGGAAGTTGTCCAGATCTCGGTCGGTGGCGAGCGAGGGAGGGGAGCGAGCGAGAAGGAGAGAAGGCGGTCTCCGAATGCGGCGGGGCCTCCGAGAAGCCCTCTGAGGCCTTCGGAGCAGTGCGCCGTGCCCTCGGGGCAGGCTCGGGGAAGACGAGAGAGAAGGAGAGAAGGAGAGCGAGAAGGAGAGAGAAGGAGAGGGGAGGGGGGCGAGGGAGAGGAGCGAGAAGGAGAGAAGGCGGTCTCGGAAGGCGGCGGGGCCTCCGAGAGAGGCACTCTGAGGCCCTCGGAGCAGCGCGCCGCGCCCTCGGGGCAGGGCTCGGGAGGAAGACTGCTCCGAAGGCTCTCGGGGGGGCCTCCGAGGAGGGGCTGCCGAGAGGGCCTGCCCCTCTGCCCCCAGCGGGCTCGCCGCCGACCCTGGGGGGTCCCCGCGGCCGTCGTCCTCGTCCTCGTCGTCGTCCTCGTCCTCGTCCTCGTCCTCGTCCTCGTCCTCGTCGTCGTCGTCGTTCTAGTCCTCGTCCCCGTCCTCGCCTCGTCCCCGTCGTCGTCGTCGTCCTCGTCCTCCTTGTTATCGTCCTCGTCCTCGTCCTCGCCATCGTCTCCGAGGAACCTGGATGCGCCGGACGCCTGGGCCCGCGAAGACGAGGGAAGGGTCGGAGAGCTGACCCCACCAAGGCTCCGCGGGATGGAGGCGAGTGCATGCTCGCTCCTTCGGCGGCAACTCGTGGGAGCCTCCCATACCATCTCGTCGGCTCTTGCGAGTCGACGCTCGTCGACGCTAGTCGACGCCAATCGACGCTGATCGACGCGACCCGACGCTAGATCGGACTTCCAGACGCTGATCGATGCGAATCGACGCTGGAGACGGAACTAAGAGGGTATACCAGGCTCCCATGATTTGCTACCGAACTCTCCTCCCACACGGGAAGAGCGTCGTGAGTCAATGTGTAGGGACGTCGACGCCTGGGCCGAAACGGCAGCGGAGGAGAGGAGGTAGGTATAAGTGGGAGGTTGAGTTTTTCGAGCTGGGCGTCTTCGCCCAATTTCAGGACCCGGGACCCTCACGGATCGATCCGGATCGAAAAATGCCACCGAAGGATGGGGTCTGGGGTTCTAAAAAGAGAACCTCCAAGAACCAAAGAACGCTGGGAAGAAGTGGGTAGAAACATGAAGTGGGAAGGCGTCGAAAGGAGATTGGGCTTCCGCCAGTCCCCTGAAGCGGGGGGAAGAGGAAAAACACGCTCGACTCTTGAGGTGGAAGGCAGCTAAAAAGTAGATTGGGACATGAGGATCCCAAAATACCTATCTTCGACCACCAGAGTGTAATCCCACTGGCTCGCGACACGGTGTGGTCACCGTACCGCTCGGGGACCCCAAGCCAAACCCCCGCTGTACGTGCGTACCCACGCCGAGGGGGCGGCTGCCGCGGCCTCAACGGGGCCTCCTCGACATGGTAACCATCATGTTCCTTCCCTCCTCCTCGTCATCAACACTTCCCCCTTCTCCTACATCATCTCCTTCCTTGCAATACTTCAACTCATCATACCCGTCATTTCCATGGCCGTCATCATCATCATCATCATCATCATCATCATCATCATCATCATCATCATCATCATCATCATCCTCAGCATCCCCATCATTACAATCATCATAATCATCACCACCACCATCACCAGCATCATCAGCAGCAGCATCGTCATCATCATCATCATCACCATCATCATCAGCATCATCGTCATCCTCATCATCACCATCATCATCCTCATCATCAGCATAATTACCATCATCAGCATCATCATCATCCTCATCATCACCATCACCATCACCATCACATCATCATCATCATCATCATCATCATCATCATCATCATCATCATCATCACCATCACCATCACCATCATCACTTTCACCGTCGTCGGCGGCGGCAGCAGCAGCAGCAGAACATCATCACCATCAGCATTACCAACATCATCAGCAGCAGCATCAGCAGCATCGTCATAATCATCATCATCATCAGCAGCAGCAGCAGCAGCAGCACAACCGTCATCATCAGAAGCTGTCCTCTTCATCATCATCTGCATCAGCATCATCATCATCAGCAGCATCAACAGATTGTTAGAATCAGCATCATCATCATCATCATCATCATCATCATCATCATCATCATCATCATCATCATCATCACAAACACAATCATCATCATAAGCATCATCAGAATCATCATCGTTATCATCACCATCATCATCTCAGCATCTCTCTGAAAAACATCAGCAGGGGGCCCAGCATCGAAACGATCAGTCGAGTCCGGTCGACCCGAACATCGAGTCGTCAGACATCGGCAGAAAACGGCTGCCAAATCGAAATCGACAGGAGTCGGCAGGCCCGAGTAAGATCGAGTCGAAAACCGGCTGGACGGACGCCGGATCGGAACAGAAATCAGCAGGCACAATCCGCGCGTCCTCTGGTGGGACTCGTTGCAGAAATCCCCGTCCGTCGAAAGATGTCGTACGTCGTCCAACGTCGTCGAACGTCGTCGCAATCGTCGTCCGACCGTCCGTCGACGGTCACCACACGTCGTCCGAATCGTCGAACGTCGTCGCAATCGTCGTCGTGGGCCGTCGAACGTCGTCCAACGTCGTCGAAGCTTGCCCAGCCTGGGGGCCCGCACGGCAAAACCCCCCGGAGGGGATTGTGGGACCCTCCCAGGGGTTTCGCGGACCCTCCCCCAGAAGGGTTTGTGGACCCCCCCTGGGGGGAGGGCTTGTGGATCCCCCTCGGAAGGAGGGGTTGCGGATTCCCCTCGGAAAGGGTTTGCGGTTTCTTCCTTGGGGGGGGTTTGTGGACCCCCCTCCTGGAAGGGTTTGTGGACCCCCACCCCGGGGGGGGGGCCCGTATGGGAACGTCGGAGGCCCCATGAGGGACCCTTCGGGAGGGTTACCGTCGTCGCCGCTCCCTCCTCCCTACTTTCTCCCTCCTCCTCCTCCGTCCCTCCTCCTCCCTCCTCCTCCCTCCTCCTCCGTCCTCCTCCGTCCTCCTCCTCCTCCTCCCTCCCTCCTCCCCTCCTCCTCCTCCTCCTCCTCCTCATCTCATCATCATCATCATCATCATCATCATCATCATCATCATCATCATATCATCATCCTCATCCTCCTCATCCTCATCCTCAGCCTCATCCTCATCCTCATCCTCATCCTCATCATGCGCGCGCAGTAAGCGCTCATGACGTCTCCACGAGAGCCCAACACATAAAAAAAAAACCACGGGAATACACCCATCAGGACGACTTTTTTGTCACCTCCGGCTGGGGGCACCATCCAGTCGGAGGGCCAGCGACAGGGTGCTCTCTTCGCGGGCAGCCTGGGTCCAAGCCCAGGCCGCTTCTATCTGAATCTCCAAGGCACCAGGGCTCGGTGAGGGGAAACCACTCTTTCCCCTGCTTGTACCTGCCCTCGGCAAGGCCTCGCAACACACGACTGCCCCAGACAGAGGGGGCGGACACGGTTCCCTGAACCACTTGGAAATGGTGATTCCGCCCGCCCCGCACAGGGCGCAGACCCCCACCTCCCCCGCGAGAGTGAAAGGATAGGCACGGTGAAAGGCGCGACCCTCTCTCCGAAGAACCGCGATCGCCACATCAGCCCGAGTTTCAGCCGACGAGACCACGGGCGGAGAAGGAATTACATGCGACGGCGGCACGAAATCGCGCACCTTCTTCACACGCTTGGAGGCTGGGACATGCCCGCAATCGAGGTCGGCCATCGGTGGCCCACGCAGTCCGACCCATCTTGTGAGAGCCGACACAGCCCTGTGCTGACTGTTGACCTTCACGCGGTACTGCTCAGAAGTTCTGCAGAACTCGGCGGCTCGCTTGGCATAACCATCAGCCAAATTGGTTGCCGACCTGAGCTCCGGCTGAAATTACTGACGCCTGCATGCACATCAGACCTGTCAGCGTGCGCTTTGACCTTCAGGAGCTGCTCAAGGCCTCCTCTGTCAGCGATGGCGTGCCACGCAAGCTTCCATGTATCGGCACAGGCGGCCCTGGACGAGCAACAGAAGAGACGACCCCTCTCCCAGACGCCCTGGGAGACAAAACTGGAGTCCGTC